TGGATCCTGTGTATCGACGCAGGAAGACATTCGTGACAGATTATTTTCAAATAGTTTCTTATGAGACTTTAAAATGAACAGAAAGTTGAACCAAGAATGTAGATTCCACCATCGACATTGTGCTGTGCTTATTTTAATCATCTATCCATCCATCTATCTGTATCCATGATAGATTTTTAGGTGAGGAAAATGAGGTGTAAAATGTAGAATATTAATTCCATTTTAGTAAAACAAAAGCTAAGAAAAGACTAAACTATGCATGTATGTGTTTGCAAAGTAAGAAAGTATCAGAAGAGGTGTCTGAACTTTTTTAAAAAAATTTTTAATGTTTATTTATTGTTGAGAGAGAGAGAAACAGAGTACAAGAGGGGGCGGGGCAGAGAGAGAGGGAGACACAGAATCTGAAACAGGCTCCAGGCTCTGAGCTGTCAGCACAGAGCCTGACGTGGGGCTCAAACTCACCGACCGCAAGATCATGACCTAAGCCAAAGTCGGACGCTTATCCGACTAAGCCACCCAGGCACCCTGAGAAGTGCCTGAACTCTTAACGTTGATTGTCTGAGGGCTGGGTTTGTAAAGAGAGGGGAAAGGATTACTTCTCTCCTCACCTCTAATGCTGATCAGTTGTGAAAACTGGAAATGCCCTAATAAGGAGTTTTTTAAATTCTTCTTTAGTAAGAATAGAACAGTCCAGGCCAGCCCTGGACACCCCCATAAAGGGAAATCGAGTCAGAACCAGGGTTCAGGGAGGCGGGCCCATTCCCTGAGCACCACCGAGCATGTCAGCCGGCCCTGCCCCGTGCACAGGCACGCGTGCACACACACACAAGCAACCAGGCCCCTGCATGTCCCTGTGCGAACGCACACACTTACCTTGCCCCTGCCTCCCCTGTCCCAGCACTGCCCACCTCTGCCTGCCCAGACTGTGGCGTCACTCTGCACCTGCCCCTGCCCAGGAGCAGGGGCATCATTGTAGCTTGGCGGGCCCTCCCCAACCAGCGACAGCCCCCCTGAAGGGTGTCCTGGCACCTGGGCACCCGGAGAAGGTGCAGGATGGGCCTGCTTACTCCCACAAACACCTCTGTGCTCCAGGGCCCAATCAATACCCCTCCCCCGCCCTCAGGCCCCATTTGCATTCAGGCTCTTCCAGAAAGATCTCCGGCCCCCTCCTCATTACAACGTGCTTTTCATTCAACAAACTTTGATGGGAGCTTGTCCAGGCCAGGCACCCAAGACACCCAGGCTGGTGGGGAAGAGGGCACAGCTACAGGCACCAGGGCCATCCAGCAGGGGAGTGTCCTGGAGGAGGCAGGGTCAGAGCCAAGCTGGGGAAGGGCAGGGCAGCAAGTGTCCAGTGGGAGTGATATGTGGCCATAGTCAGGGAGACCGTGGGAAGAAGGGCCTCTGGGAGTGCAGGCGAGGGTGACAAAAGGGGCGTGGGGGACACAGGTGGGGAGGTGTCCCTTCCCACGTGTGCAGGACCCCCAGGAAGGAAGGCCTCTCCAGGGAGGAGCTGAGAGAGGGTTCCACTACCCCCTCGCCCCTGTCTCCGGCCCCTCTGCCCAGTGAAGCAGGAATGGGGGTGGGCACTGATGGTAATCCCCCTCCTCCCAGTCCATAGTCTCCCTTTCAGGGAGCCCTCGGGTATTGTTCTGCCTTTGTAAAGAGGGAGATCGAGTGACAAAGCCGGGTGGGTGGGCAGGCGGCCCAAGAGGCCTCTTCTCTCCAGGCAGCATCTGCATGGGGGAGGGGCCCTTCCACACCCCCACCTCTGGCTTCCCAGGAGCAGCTGTTGCCATGGTGAGAGTCCAGGCATCCCCCAGCTCCTGGGGCGCCCTCTCCCCCATTGCTACATAGGAAGGGCCCCAAGACTCCTCTCCGCCCTGCTGGGGGACAGGAGCACAAAAAACCTGGCTCCCAGGCCAGGGCTGGTGGTGGGAAAAGCCTCCACCGGCCTCAGCCTCCCCGCCCGGCTGCCAGCAGAGGGGCACCTCTGGAGCCCCCACCTCCTACACACACCCTGACGCGGGGCCCCCGCTATCATTCATGCACCTCTGCCTCCTGGAGGCCAGACACACAGAGAAATAAAACGTTCCCAAGGTCCTCGAGCAGCTGCTGGTATTAGGGTGGAGTGGGGATGGATGGAGGGCTAACTGAGTGCACAGTGCGGGGACAAGGACCCTGGGCCCAAAGAGCAGACCCTCCAGCCCCATCTAGGAGAGCTGGGCTGGGGGACTGCCCCTGCGAGGTGATGCTGGAGGCTGGTTGTGCCAAGCAGGGCAGGAGAGAAAGGCCTCCTGGTCTGGGGAGATTGGAGGCATGATGGCAGGATGTGGCTTGGTGCTTCCATTGGTGGGGTGGGGAGGTGGGGGGGGGGATACAGTGGGCGGGGGAAGTCACGGCAGGAAACGAAGAGGCGAGTTGGGGGCTGTGCCTGGAAGGGCTTCATCCCCAGGAGCGTGGGCTTCACCCTGGGCAATGGGAAGCTGCTGCTGACATTTTGGGAAACTGTTATCCTTGACCAGGGGGTCAATGCCAGGTCCTTTTTTTGCAAGATACCCTACCTCCTTGGGAAGGTCGGGAGCTTGTAGCCGCACCCGTCGTGGCTCAGGTGGGCTGAGTGCACGCTATGCGCTGGCCACAAGGCTGTGTGCCCCTCCACGGATGCCCAATCTCACAGGGCCACTCCGAGAGCATGAGGCTGGGTGCACACCCAACACAGAGCGCCCGCCACCTTTCCTTCTCCCTTCCCTGCAGGCAAGTCTCTACACGGTGTGAGTGCACCAGCCTGAGTCCCCACCACGTGCCACAAGGGGCAGGTGCCCTTCCTCTGCTGGTGACAGGCAGCCTCATGCCGTGGAAGAGCCTGAACGCCCACCCTGATCCTTCCGAGCTGTGTAATCCCAGCAAATTATCTAGGGTTTCCTGTGCCTCAATTCCTCATCTGTAAAATGGTTACAAAAGTCCTTGCAAGACTGTTAGGAGGGTTAGAAAGGCCACTGTGTGAAGTGCCTGGCCCAGGGCCTGCATCGTTCATGGGAGGTCCTGGGCCCCTCTCCCAGCCCCCCTGCAGGGCAGGTCTCTCCCTCAGCCTATGTCTCAGCACCCTGAGCAGCTGCTAGTGCGTCTGGACCTGTGGAGTCTGAGTTTTCCAGGTACGTCTAAGTCAAGGGGGTGAGGACAGACGGGGCAGGGCCTGGGGTGGGGGTGGGACCATAGTCTCTAAGTGAGTCCCAGACCAGAGCAGAGCCCCGTGGGTGGTCTGCTGGGTGGCATTTGTGTTTCCCTGCAGAGCTTCTCTGGGAGCCATGGTGGGAAGCTGGCAGGGCAGACACAGGTGCTCTGGGACTCCAAGTGGCCCCCAACAACCCCAGGCAGGGTGGGGCGGGGTAGGCCGCTCAGGGGTCGCAGTTCCAGATCTCACTCATTGTCACTGGCGGACTGAGCCACACCCGTAGGGAGTCACAGATACCGCACTGTGCACTGGTGAACCCAACTGTACCACGAGGACGGTCCTCCTCGCTCCCCGTGGTTGAGGAGCTGCCCATGGAAGCAGGGGGGTAACAGTCTCATGTCATCCTGATGGCTCTCAGGTTTAGGTGAGGAGGGTATGAGGTGGACTCCTAAGGTACCCATGGGACGTTGCTGTGTATCGCCCCTCTGCTCTGCAGGCACAGGAAGGAGAACAGGGCTCTGCCGGGGACTGGCAGGGCGGTGGGGAGTGAATCTTGGAAGTTCTCATCACTGGTGAAAAAAAATGTGTAACTGTGTACCATGCCAGATGGTGACCACTTGACGTGGGGGCTGATTATTTCCCAATGTGCGCAAACAGCGAGTCATGCTGTGCATGTGAAACTAGTATGAGGTTATGTGTCAATTATACTTTGATTTAAAAAGCCCAGAGTCCATGGAGCACCTCGGTGACGCTCTGGGGGGTCTGTTGAGCCTCCAACTTCAGCTCAGGTCATGATCTTGCGGATCGTGAGTTCGAGCCC